CATACCCAATATTGCCAATTGGTCTTCTTTCATAAGCAACTGCCTGCTTCTGCTTCACATGCCCAATGTCTTCCTTTATCTCTCTGAGATTATTATTTTAATTTCTAATTTTATTTAGTATTTATTGTTTTCTGGCATATAAATTATTCCATTGATTGCCTTTCACATTGTTGTCATTGCTAGGTGCCATCAAGCCGATTTCAACTCATAGCAACTACATGTGACAGAATAGAACTACCCCTATGGAATTTTCTAGGCCATAATCTTATAGGAACAGATCACTAAGTCGTTCTCCCATGAAACAGTTGGATGAGTTCAAACTGCCAAGTTTTCCGGCCAGCAGCAGTGACTCACTTATTGGGTGCACCACCAGCACTTCCTTTTGTCAAAGTATTCATATTTCTCATCATTTTCCTCCTAGGAGCTCCTATTTGCTGGAAGCTCATCGTGTCCACACAGAAAGAAGAGCTTAAGTCTTAGTTTATGCCTTACCTCTCCCTGCCTAGAGCCCTCCTCATAACCATCATCACCCCTACCAATCTCTGAGCACTTGTTCCATCCAGCACCATTCATCCTGGGCTCTATTCTTTTTGAAGTGCTATTTATTTAGTATAACCCTGCACCTATTTTAAAGATAAGGCAACTAAAGCAGACAAAGATCAAATGGCTGTCCAAGATGACACAACTGTCATGGCAGAGCCCGACCTCACTTATTTTTGCATGCAGGAGAGCAGGCTTCATTTAGTGGTCTTGTGCCAGACCTTGTCAGGGAGGACAAAGGTAAGCAGGGGACCCTCCCACTTCTATCTGCCCTATAACAAGCTAACCTCAAAGCACTCTCAGCTGGTCCACATACCACTTCTCAGAAATTACTACAGAGAGTATTAGTGTTGTCATGCATGCCTTCCTTCCTCCTGAAAAGGGCTCTGGAGTGAAAGAAAAACAGTTCACACCAACTGACTGGCAACTTTAGACGGGTATGGGAAGAAGATTAAGATCATGTATGCAAAGGGCACAGACAGGCACTTAATAAACAGCAGCTAGGATAAGCACTCTGGTAGCGTAGCAGTTATGAATCGGGCTGTGAACCTTAAAGTAAGCAGTTCGAAACTACCAGCCGCTCTGCGGGAGAAAGATGAGGCTTTCTGCTCACATAAGGATTTACAGCCTCGGAAACCCTGTCGCTATGGGTCGGCACTGACTTGACAGCACTTAACAACAAACAACAACAAGGATAAGCACTGGAGTGATAACCACAAGTTCAGCAGTTCAAACCCACCAGCTCTTTGGAAACCCTATACAGGATCGCTATGAGTCAGAATCGACTCGATGACACTTAACAACAACAATCACTATTGGCAGAGTCCTGGTGTGGTGCTGTAGATTGTAAGGTTGGTTTGAATAGCAAGGTCGGAGTTCAAACCCACCAGCAACTCCTCAAAAACCCTATACAGGGTTGCTATGAGTCAGAACCATCTCGATGACACTTAACAACAACATCATTATTGGTAGTTCAGTGGTAGAATTCTCATCTTCCATAAAAGAGACCTGGGTTCAATTCCTGGTCAACGTACTGCATGCATAGCTACCACATATATGTCAGTGGAGGCTTGGGTGTTGCTATGATGTTAAGCAGGTCTCAGTACAGCTTCCAAACTAAAACAGACTAGGAAGAAAGACCTGGCCTTCTGCTTTCAAAAATCAGCCAGTGAAAATCCTGTGGATCACAGAAGTCCCACCTGCATATAATCATGGGAATGGTGCAGGACCAGGTAGCATTTGATTTCGTTGTGCATAGGGTCACCGTAAGTTGGGGTCAACTTGACAGCAGCTCACAACAACAACCATTACAATAATAGAAATGCAAGTTGGATGTGTCACAGAAGTACCCTGAGCACTCTGGTGGGAGGTGCAATGAAGAAGTAGAGACAGAAGCCATCCTCAAGACAAATAATAGTGCTTGCTGAGTACATCTGCCAGTCCTTGCAACCAGCCCTCCTACATATTTGAAAGGACTCACTCTTTCAATTTTGCTTCATCCTAAGCAATTGTTGTTAAGTGCCATTCAGTGGGTTCTGACTCATAATGACCCTGTATAGATAGAGTTTCCAAGAGTGGCTGGTGGGTTTGAATCACTGACCTATAGCACCACACCAGGATTCCATCTTAAGCAATGCTGTTGTTGTTGTTAAGTATCATCAAGTCAGTTCTGACTCATAGCTACTCTGTATAGGATTTCCAGGGATTTATATCTTTACAGGAACAGAAAGCCTCATCTTCCTCCTGCAGCACGGCTGGTGGGCTCAAATCTCAGACCTTATGGTTCCAAGTGCAGTGCTTAGCATATGGAGCCACCGCACTCCCTCATGGGTTTGATCTACTAGTTGTTTTTTTGTTTTGTTTTGCTTTCTTGGAAAAAGACATACAGATCTATTAAGACTAAAAATACTCCATACCACATGAAATGGCTTCTCAGGTTCCAACAGTGCTGCCTGGCACCTTGCGAGAGACCTTGTCTTTCAGCTCGCTCTGACCACTTCCCAGAGGGAACGTAGGGCCAGCCTTGCCAACCCCACCTCTGGTATCTCAGTAACTGGACTAGGGCTGGTGAAAGCCCCCTCAGAGTTTCCCTCAGAAAGGGGGAGAGGGAGGCAGGGAGTAAGCCCTATCCATGCTGTCCTCAGCTGGGGGAAACCTGGCATCAAAATTCGGTGACTTCACCAAAGCCATAGACTTTAGTTGAGACTCCCTGCCTACCCTCCCTCATTTTCCAAAATGGTAACTTTTACTGGCTCACATTCCTCTTGCTGGGAACACTACTGTTTAATTAAAAACGACCGACTTTTGTTTTTCTCTCTTTCCTTCCTACTCCCTCCCACCATCCCAGACTGGGTGCCAAGGAAACCCACCAAAAACATGCGGATAACATTTGTTATGGCTTTGAAGATGAAAGTCAATTGAAGTAACGCTTGCTGTATTTCAAGTTTCCCCTCTAGCATGGAGTAAACATGAAGCAAGTTGCCTAGTAGTTCAGGAAAGTAAAAAGAAAAAAAAAGGGGGGGGGGCTGCAAATAAATACCATTCTGCAAGCATACTTGGTAAAAATAAACAGGCTGAAAAAAAAACAAAATGTGATTAATGAAAATCCACTCAGCTGACCTGTCTTCAACTACAAATGCATTTGTTCACATGACTAAATCAGATCATTCTCACTGAACTTTAAAGAAAGAAGTAGATTAAAAAAGAAAAAAAAGAAAAAAAAAACACGAAATGGTACAGGGAAGAGAAATTTGTAGTTCTATTTAGAAAGGACCTCAATTGCAGCACCCCCTATCCACTAAGTTTTGCCTTTACTAGGAGGACAACTCCAATTCAAAAGGAATACAGCCAAGGAGCAGTAGCGGTGGAAAAGAGATGGGAGCTGATCTCATGCATGCACCAGAATCAACTTTATCCAAAGCCAACCTCCGAATACCTGGTCCCTGCTGCTGGGCTGCACTCTGTCCAGGTCCCACTGTCCAAATAGATACACACATCTGAAGACTCCACCGTCTTTCCAGAGCTCTTGGAGAAGACCAAAGAACTAACCAGCCTGTTCCCCCTCAAAGTAAAAATTAAATGTCACATCAAAAAGTGGATTCCTCCTTTGATCCTTGGCTGCATGAGTTCCACGCAGACTGCCCCTTACAGAGTTCTGGAGCTCATAGGAAAACTGTGAACACCAGTCCCAGTTCAGGAGTTGGGGCTCACTTCTCTGTCATACCTACTCCTCCCCAGAAACAACTCAGGGATCCAGTGGCCAGACCCACTGAGAGAAGAAGGTTTAGGAATGAACTCAAGCTATAACAGAATGAGGCTTTCCCCCCTTGTATGCTAAGCTAAAGATCTACCAAATTCCACAGCTCCAGAAAAGCACAGTTTGCTCTACTGGAATTCCTGAGCAGATGACACTGATGACTGCCAGAAACACTTGGGACACATTTAAGAGGCAGCCACAAGATTTGGGGGCCACCCTGGATGCTTCCTCTCTTCCAAGCTCACCTCCAAATCCACCAGAGCAATTCCCTAAATTCCTGCAGCACAGGGTTTCCCACAGCAGCTGGATTGGCATCACCTTTTTTACCCCAGGCAGTCTTCAAAGCAAGCGGGCACAGGGACATGTGGTGTGGTAAGGGGCAGTTGGCAGACAGTTTTGGCCCAAGAAGCTGTGCCAGAAAGGATGCTTAAAAGTTGGGGTGGATCCTCACAGCAACAAACAGTCACACACACACCCACAAACAGAGTGGACAGAGAAGGGCAGCTTGGACATTGAATACTCAGATTGGGAGGGGGGACTACAAAGGCAAGAAGTGACTGGCTTACAAGCTTTCAAGAGGGAACCTAGTGCATGGCAGAAAGCAGAATCTCCAGTAGATACTATTCAATCTGTCTGGGCGGAGCTGATGAAAGGAGATACAGATGGTTAACTCCTGATACTGTAGTGAATAATGCTTATCAGGATGGACTATGAGGGTTGGAAATGCAAAGTTAGAAGTTTTGTAACAAGGAAGGGAGTGATTAATTCTCCAGGATAGGAGCGGAGACCTCTGGGACCATCAACGGAGAAGAGCCAAGAGCGGGACCCTACCCAGAGAAACAGAGATGCCTGAGATGGAGACAGAGATGATGACGTGGAGTGATGAAGCGACTGGGGACTTTGGACCCAGAGAGGGAAAGGGACTGTGGGCCGAAAACTGGGAGGGGGGAGGGGGAAGTGTAGGGGGCGGGTTTCTGGGATATACCCTTTGGGTGGTTGAGGATGCATGGAGGGGATTGGAACCATGGCAATGAGATGATATACGATGGAATGAATGTAAAACTAAAGTTCCCCCATGTAAACTATCATATAATTCACAATAAAACATTAAAAAAAAAACAAAAAAAACTTGGGGTGGGTGGATATGGAGACTCAACTCTGAAGTTGGGAGGGACAGGGAGATAGAGTGATATGGGGTTCGTACCCGGGTTCCTCTGCCAACAGTGCCCACCGTTCGGAGCTCTCTGGGTCCCGTACCAACGCCCGGGCAGCGCTGCCTCCCGATCCACTCCTCGATGCCTTTCCGAGCCCAGGCAGCGCTCACCGCGAAGCTGTCACCTGGGTCAGGGATGACATGCAGCCCTTGAGTTTGGCCCCCTCGCCGAGAGTTACCCGAGAACGGAGGGCGGAGGTAAGCGCGACAGCGAAAGGAAAGCAAAGGCAAGGGAGGGGAGGGAGTGGGGGACCAGAGGGGGCAAAAGCTGGGGCAGAATCCAAGAGAAGGACACTGGTAATCAGAAGGGAATTCAGGGAAGCTTCAAGAACAGGGACCCATAAAGGGGCGGGGAAAGGAGGACGGCGGGGGTTGGAGGGTCAGAAGAGGGAGCACCAAAGGCCTGGAGTACAGGGGTGTGGGCTGGGGATAAGGCTCTCAGGAGAAGGAGCTAGGAGACAGAAGGGGGAAGGGGGCAGGATCTTGGGAGGAGGAGTTTGGGAGTCTGAAGAGGGAGTGAGATTGGGCCCGAGGGCGGGGACCATGGGAGGGGGCAAGGTTGAGGGTCTGAAGCGCTGGACCGAAGGGATGGGGTTGGAGGGACAGAGGAGGAGGTACAAATGCTGCTTAGGGAGTGGGTTTCTGGGACTGGTGGCCGCAGCTGGAGATGGGAGTAGCCTTGGTAATAAGATCCGGGGGACTGGGCCATTCCACAACCGTCCGCTGTGCGTTCCCGGTCCATCCCCCGAGTCAGCGCCCTGCGCGCCCCTACCTTCCGGACTCTCCCTGCGCTTGCACACGGCGGCTGCAGGCACATTGCGCGCGGCGGCGGCGGCGGCCGAAAAGAAAGGAGAGGGAGAGGGTTAGCGATCGTAGTGGTAACGGTGGCGGAGGCTCGGGGCCCGTCGCGCGCAGCGGGAGCACTAACCCGGTTTGGAGTGAAGTTTCCCCATGCTGGGGTCACGGAGGGTGGGGGCGCTCCTACGCCATGCGCCCAGACCCCGCGGCGCACCTCGCCTCGCTCTTCTTCCCAAGAGCCGACCGGAACCGAAGTCCGCGCGGAGAAGCACTCATGCAGCGGTCGCCGCGGCCCTACTGACGCCCAGGCGCGCCGAGTCCCCAGCCAGCCGCCGAGGCCCGCGCCTCCCTGCGCGCCCATTGGCCGGCCGCGGCGCTTCAAAGGCGAGGCGGACCGCGGAGGGGGCGGACTGGGGGCGGTGCCGGGAGCTGGGGGCGGAGCGCGGTGGAACACGCCGCAGGCCAGGCCAGCACAGCGCCTGCTCTACAGTCTGGTGTCCAGCCAGCGATGCGGATTTGGAGACCCGAATGGGGGAGCTTTGGCTAGAAGGCGTTATTGGGACAGAAATCTCCTTGGATCTTCCCAGTCCAAAATATTTGTTCAGTGCTGTGCACTCAGTTTCCTCAAAGGGGGCAAGGGCTGAACTCAAAGTCTCCAATTTACAGGTGGGGAAACTGAGGCCGTGAGCAGAATCGTGAGCTAGCTAATTCGTGCTGCTTCCCAGTCTTCACATGATCTGCCTTTTGCAGAAAGTGTCCACTTACTATCCGCACCAGCTCCCACACTAGAGCAGTCTTTTATTTGGAAGTCCAGAAAGCCACTCTGCCCACCTTCCATTCTCCCACCGCACCTTGAACCAGTTGTGAGTTCATTCCTGGCGGCGACAAGTGTCCAAAAGCCCCAAATTGTCAGCCAAATGCTCAGATCCTGTGGGTGCCCGAGGGCATAGGGGCATACTGCCAGCTGCGCGCCCAGAAGGGGGTAACCGATAGATCTTTGATCTTCCTTGGTTTCCGCTCCCTGTTGTAATTCGCCCAACCCAAAGGCTTGTTTGTTTTGTCTGGGGAGGGGAGTACCACATCAAGGGATTCCACTCCACCTTTGTGATTCTCTGAAAGAATGCTTGCTCTGCTGGGGGCACCCTGGGCCTGCTGTTAAACTCAATCCTGGTCCCAGGCAATCTGGTCATGGGAAAAGAAAACACCTCTGAGGAGCCTGAAATGAGGGGACCACCTCTGCCTCTTAAAATTCCAGAAGCCACATTAAAAAGACGTCAAAAAGCAAGTGAAATTAATTTTAATAATACGATATCCCATCTAAACCAACATATAAAGAGCCCTGGTGGTGCAGTGGCTTAAACACCCAGCTGCTAACCCAAAGGTCAGTGGTTCCAACCCGTCAGAGTCGCTGCAGGAGAAAGATGTGGCAGTCGGCTTCCATAAAGATAGTTGTTGTGGTTATGTGCCGTGGAGTTGGTTCCGACTCATAGCGATCCTGTACAGGGTTTCCAAGGCTATAAATCTTTATGGGAGCAGAAAAAAGCCCGCTGGTAGTTTCGAACTGCTGACCTTGAGGTTTGCAACCCGTTTCGTAACCATTACGCTTCCAGAGCTCCTTGTATTAATGCTATGTACTCTCAAAGTGAAAGACTTTGCACTAAATACTTGAAATCCAGTGTGTATTTTACACTCAAGAGTATATCAATCAGCTACATTGTTGTTGTTGTTGTTATGTGCCATGAAGTGACTTCCGACTCATAGCAATCCTGTACAGGGTTTCCAAGGCTGTAAATCTTTACGGGAGCAGAAAGCCTCATCTTCCTCCTGCGGAACACCTGTTAGTTTTGAACTACTTGCCTTGCGGTTCGCAGCTGGATTTGTAGCCACTACACTGCCAGTGCTCCTTAATTAATTGAGAAGAGTATCTCAATTAGCTATGTGGTTAAAAGTCATATGTGGCTAAAAACCAAAACCAGATTGATGGTGATCAAATCAATTCCAATTTATGACAATCCCACATGTTTCTGAGTAGCATAGGGTTCTCAATAGCTATAATGGAGCTCACCAGCTGCTCCTCAGAAACCCTATACAGGGTGGCTATGGGAACCAACTCGACAGCACTTAACCACCACCACAACAATCTTACAGAAGTAAACTGCTCGTGTTTCCTTCCATGCCATCACTGGATGGATTCAAACCACCAACTTTTCCTTTAGAAGCGGGTAGCAAACCATATGGCTACCCGTTAAATCGATTCCAACTCATGGCGACTCTACATGTGCCCCATAGGGTTTTCAAGACTGTGACCTTTTGGAAGTACTTGTGCTCTAAGGCACCCCTGGGTGGCTGCTGGCTAACAGATGGACAGGACAACTCTGGAGATTCTACTGGTATTAAACAGGAATTGAGGATTGCAGTGCTCTCCAGAGACATAAATCTCTTCATCCAAAAGTGTTTTGCTTCCTCCATTCTCCAAACTTCTTTCTTTAGATGGAGATTAAGAAATTTTTTATGGAGACTAAGGATGATGTTCCTTACCAAACATGATATCCTTCTCTAGTGACTGACTGGTCCCTCCTGACAATATGTCTGAAGTATGAGAGATGAAGTTTGGCCATCTTGGCCTCCAAGTAGCACTCTAGCTGCACTTCTTCCAAAACAGATCTATTGGTGCTTTAGGCAGCCCATGGCACTTTCAATATTCTCCTCCAACACCATAACTCAAAAACATCAATTCTTCTACAATCTTCCTTATTTATTCACTGTCCAGCTTTCGCATGCATACGAGGTTATTGAAAATACCATAGCTTGGGTCAGGTGCACCTCAGTCCTCAGGCTGACATTTTTGCTCTTCAACACTGTGCAGCAGATTTGCCTAATGCAATACATTGTTTGATTTCTTTACCGCTGCTTCCGTGAGTGTTGATAGTTGATCCAAGAAGAATGAAGTCCTTGGCAATGTCAATCTTTTCTCCCTTGATAAGAATGCTGTTTATTGGTCCAGTGGTGAGGATTTTTGTTTTCTTTACATTACCACAAGGTAGGCAATTCAAATTCACAGGCTGCTCCTTGGAACCCCTATACAAGGGTTGCTATGAGTCAGAATCAACTCGATGGCACTTAACAACAACAAGGACTATATATATA